AAGTTACTCCCACTCCCTCCATAACTCACCCATGATCTCTGGAAGTTGAAGAGTGAATTATCTCCTATAAATAGGCCTTAGATTCACAGTTTTAAGGGGAACCTTCGATGTATCGAAGTGCTGCCAAAATTCCCATTGAAGCCAATTCTACTTTCCTGCATTATTTTCCATTTCTTTTCCTTTTATTTCATTTGTATCGCTTTATTTGTTCCTGTACCTTTTAATTCTCGCCAAAGTAGAATCCTGCCGACATTGTGGAGGACTACTCAAGGATTCGAGATCAGTACGATTTACAGGTTTTTATTAATTGAATTATTATTTTATTTCTGTCAGTATGCATGTTATATTATTCTGCTGCCATTGTTTATTTATGTTTGCATTAATTATCATGTCTAGCTAAATTAGTTTTATCGGTATGTAACCAAATTAGTAGGACAGGAGCGATAGTAACCGGTACCTTCCCTTTTTATAAACAACCTTTCTGGCCGTAGTTTTTAATCTTAATTTCTAAATAAACCTTCGTCGCGACAGCGAGAAATTATTTACCGAAGTTTCGCCACGACAGTGGGAAATTCATAAAGGTACGAACCAACAAGCGACAGCTGAGGCTAGGACCAGATAGTAAAAACTAGGCATTGATTTTAGACACAGCGAAAGCGCTTTAAAAGAAATTAGAATCTATTTGTTTTCAAAAAGTAATTTTAACCCCGAACGGGATAGCGACATCATACATTCCGCCTTAGAGTTGCGACTAGCGTCAACAACCATCGTGAGACAAAGGTCTTTAAACCTTTATTTTCTTCTTAAAAGTGTTTTCAAAGAGTAGAAAACACCGGTGACCTGTCGAATCCCCGATAACTAAGTCCTTGCATACCGATATCCCTTTACCGCTTTTTCTTTAAACCAATTATCTTTATTTCCTTTGCATTTAATTTCATTCGCATTCAACTTTCCTAATCCCATTTGCCTTAGCTTTACGCCGTAATAATAGATAACGGTAGATTGACATTGGTCTCTGTGGGTTCGACAATCTTTTATATTACTTTGATATTTTCGTGCACTTGCGGACGCATCAAGTTTTTGGCGCCGTTGCCGGGGACCAACAGTCAATATTGTGATTCCGTTGTTGCATAGTATAGACTAAGGCACTCTTATCTAAATCATAATGTATAACCCATATTTCCCTTATAACTACCACCCCCAATATTTCGAGGAACCACAAGATCCATTTAAATCGGACCTCGAAATATTATTAGAAGATTTCAATACGACGCATTCTCACCCAAATTCCCTCTACGATGACGACTCCCAATGTTTTGAGGAAATGCAAGATTTCGATAATCCAACCTTGAACTATTACTAGAAGAATTCGAAGAGACATTTACTCACTCTAGGATAGAATCTATGATGGAGCATTTTGTGGAGACACAAACTCTCCAAAATGAAGATTTTAGAAAACAACATCTCCAAATTGATGAAGACCTTAAGCAGATGAGCATTATAGTCGATTCCCTCGCGACTCACAGCAAGGCTTTGGAGACTCAAACCTCTTTGCTTACACAAACATCTCTAGGACCCTTCCCTGAGAGCCATGTGAATGTTGTAACCACTAGTAATGAAGAACAAATAGAAGATCCTAGGGAGAGTGATGATGAGTCTGAGGAGAGTTTTGGTGAGACAAGCATAATTATTGAGAAAAATCCACCGACACCACCCGAAAGGGAGGTTGTCGAAGAGGTAGAGAAGGAAGCACCTATTGTTGCCCCTCCTCCCTATACCCCACCTATTTCATTCCCACAAAGGGCTGTGGAAGTTAAGGTAAACTCCAAATCCAAAACATATGTGGAGGTACTGGAAAATACCCACACCAATGCACCTTTGTCTAAGGTCCCTCATAGGAAAAGAAAATTCGAGGACCATGAAACTAGGGTCATCATTACTGTTAAAAGGGTAAGATTAACTTTTGAGGTGGTGGATGAAATAACTAAGCCCAAATTTGAAAAGCTGATACGCAGGATAGATCCAGAACCACCACCACGCATTCAAAACAAGGAACCACCCTACAGAAGAAAGAAACGAAAAGGTGAGGGATATGAGCGATGGCTTGATAAGTGGCCATGGAAACCGAAGACCATTCAAAGTTTGATCGAGGAACTAGTCTCGAAAGAAACACCATGAGTACTTGCACTCCTTGGCCGTCGAGCTATCGACGTTAAACAAAGCGCTGTGTGGGAGGCAACCCACAAAGTCTCTATTTTAATTTGTTTGTTTAAATTTGCAGAAAATAAAGAAATGTATCGCTTGTTACTCTTTAGCTATATCTAAGCGAAAACTCTCTAGATGACAATCTGAGAAGATGAGCTATGCCCACGGACATTCCTACGAGTGTCGCTGCTGGTGGGAACACTGATGATGAGTACTTCCTCTTGACGCGAGCAACATGATGAGCTGGTTCGAGAATTACACAAAGGTATCTCAAAATGCCCGCCGCCGAAGTAGAAGTGATCAACAAAGACAAGGATAGCAAGAGCAATAGCATTCATACAGGTTCTATCTTTCCTTTTCCACCTTTTACTAAAACATTGAGGACAATGTTTGGTTTAAGTGTGGGGGAGGAACTCTATTGTTTTACATTTTATTTCATGTTTCTAGGAATTTTTATCTATTGTTTTACATTTTATTTCATGCTTCTAGGAATTTTTATCTATTTTTAACATTATGTCAAAGTCTTTGCATGTGCTGTCGAGTCTTTATGCGTGGTTTTCGCTTGTTATTCAATTTCCCCAAAAATTTCAAAATTTCAAAATTCTAACCTCCAACAAATTTTTGCTTCGATTCATGTCATGGTTCTCTGAAAGTATATAGGTTGTCCAGGCTATGTTAGAAAAATGTGGGAAAGTTTTGATAAAATTGATACCGCCCTGACACCCTTAACCCCCTAAATATGCAAAATCAATTTGAGTACCCATTATGCCGAAACCTTAAAGTTCCAGGTTCTTGTAGTAATCCCTAAGTAGTTTATTTAAGCAGTCAACACCATCCTAAACACACTAAGTAAGAAACCGATGCAAATAAGTGTATGATCTCTAGCGTAAAATGAGAAATTAAGAAAGAAAATAAATTATGAAGAAAAAGACATGTTCCTTCTAAGTTAGGTGCTCCTCACCCGAGCACTTAGCCTAACGGTACAAACTCTTTAAGTTCAATTGATGCTTACGCATATTTGCAGAGAAAAAAATGAAATAGTATCGAGATCATAGTCACTAACAGGTTTACTTGCCATGAATGTGTATGGATAACGGGCTTAATGTGATTGCACTATAATGAAACAGGGTGAAAGAGAGCATGAGATATAGGTTGAGTTATAATGGCATGATTCCGATTGGTTTGCATAAGTAGGGAGTTTTTGAAATTGTGTCGTTACGGTATCCTTGGTATTGATATTTAGTACCTATCGATCTAACATTAGCCTAGCAGCCACGTATGATTAGAGTCTCATCATGTTTTTGTTTCGAACTATGCTTATTTTTTTTACCGTGTTGGTTGATTGCTTGAGGACAAGCAATGGTTTAAGTGTGGGGGTGTTTGATAACGCGAAATCATATCGTATATTTGGCTTGATTTACATGTATTTATTTGTGACTATTATTAATTTATCTTGATTTATGCTCTATTATATGATTAATTTACTTCGTTTAGCAGATTGGGGAGAATTTAGACTAAAGAAAGAAAAGGAGAAAAAATGGAAGGAAAAGAGATGAAAAACAGATGAAAAACAGCAGATACAGATTCTGTTGATATGACGGTCGTCACAGGTCCATTACGACCGTCATGCGTGTGACGACCGTCACATTTCATGACGACCGTCACGCAGGCAAAATATCAGTACGTTCAAATCAGAAGAAGTCACGTCAATCTCAACTTAATTTCTTCCTACACTTTCTCCACTCACTGCCCACTACTGGAAGTTACTCCCACTCCCTCCATAACTCACCCATGATCTCTGGAAGTTGAAGAGTGAATTATCTCCTATAAATAGGCCTTAGATTCACAGTTTTAAGGGGAACCTTCGATGTATCGAAGTGCTGCCAAAATTCCCATTGAAGCCAATTCTACTTTCCTGCATTATTTTCCACTTCTTTTCCTTTTATTTCATTTGTATCGCTTTATTTGTTCCTGTACCTTTTAATTCTCGCCAAAGTAGAATCCTGCCGACATTGTGGAGGACTACTCAAGAATTCGAGATCAGTACGATTTACAGGTCTTTATTAATTGAATTATTATTTTATTTCTGTCAGTATGCATGTTATATTATTCTGCTGCCATTGTTTATTTATGTTTGCTTTAATTATCATGTCTAGCTAAATTAGTTTTATCGGTATGTAACCGAATTAGTAGGACAGGATTCGATAGTAACCGGTACCTTCCCTTTTTACAAACAACCTTTCTGGCCGTAGTTTTTAATCTTAATTTCTAAATAAACCTTCGTCGCGACAGCGAGAAATTATTTACCGAAGTTTCGCCACGACAGTGGGAAATTCATAAAGGTACGAACCAACAAGCGACAGCTGAGGCTAGGACTAGATAGTAAAAACTAGGCATTGATTTTAGACACAGCGAAAGCGCTTTAAAAGAAATTAGAATCTATTTGTTTTCAAAAAGTAATTTTAACCCCGAACGGGATAGTGACAGCATACGTTCCGCCTTAGAGTTGCGACTAGCGTCAACAACCATCGTGAGACAAAGGTCTTTAAACCTTTATTTTCTTCTTAAAAGTGTTTTCAAAGAGTAGAAAACACCGGTGACCTGTCGAATCCCCGATAACTAAGTCCTTGCATATCGATATCCCTTTACCGCTTTTTCTTTAAACCAATTATCTTTATTTCCTTTGCATTTAATTTCATTCGCATTCAACTTTCCTAATCCCATTTGCCTTAGCTTTACATCGTAATAATAGATAACGGTAGATTGACATTGGTCTCTGTGGGTTCGACAATCTTTTATATTAATTCGATATTTCCGTGCACTTGCGGACGCATCAACAACCCAAATTTAGGGTCTATGTTTCGCAACAACATCAGTGGAGCCCCTATTTTTATCTTTAAAATATGTGGCGGTAAAGCACGAGGAGCAATCGTGTGCAAGTATTCCTGTTGATATAGATTATGAGTATCACCCTCAACCTCATCAAAAGATAACAAAATATTTTCATCTCCAGGGAATTTATCAATAATCATGTCATTCAACATATGCACATCACAATTTTTTGGAGTAAGTATGACTCTCTCCACCATATATGAAGCATCCCATCCATGGTTTTCTAATTGGGGGAATGTATGTTGTATAAGCTTTTGTATGGAGCTTTCTCCTTCCCAAGGTATTACAATTTCAGCAGGCATTCTGACCATGTCATCCTCTTTAGTAGGTTCATTACCATCTCCAATCCTCATTAGAAACTGCGCAAAGTCATGGTCATGAATTGATCGCATGTTTTGGCGCAAATGTAGGACCTTTGCGGTGGCCCATAATCGAGACCTAATAATACATGCTGAAATCATTTGTCCTCTATTTCCTTTTTCAATAACTGGTAGCACCTGACGAAAATCTCCGCCCATGATCATTATTTTTCCACCAAATGGAGCATTGTTATTCATGATGTCTTGAAGTGATCGATCCAATGCTTCTACACAATATTTATTTATCATGGGTGCTTCATCCCAGATGATTGCACTGGTTATTCTAATGAGTTTGTCAAGGTCATAAATATTTGCTATTTTGCAAATAGAATGGGGCTCTATATCAATGGGGATCCCAAATCGAGAGTGTGCAGTTCTACCACCAAGTAATAATGTAGCAGCTATACCAGAGGAAGCTGTTGCTAAGACAATTTCATTATTACGCCTCAAATTTGCCATTATAGTTCGATAAAGGAAGGTTTTACCTGTCCCTCCAGGACCATCAACAAAAAAAATTTGACATTGTTTTTGGTGGATGGCGTTCATAATTATATTGTAAGCACTCATCTGGTCATTATTTAACTTCACAACAGATTGAACGTCTTCGTTTGGAATTTGGACCGATAATTCTTCCTGAATAATTGTTGGCACTCCCCCGACTTCATTTGTTTCCATTGTCAACATTGGAAGATCTTAGTTTTTTATTAGTTTTCCATGCAGTAGCAAAAGATCCCCCAATTCCCGCAATAACATATTTTCAAAGTTATCCCCCACAACAACATTTGTCATTTGATAATCCTCCACCATGTAGGGATAAAACTCATTAAATAGGCCTCTAACATCAGTTGGTTCACAAAAAATTAATATAGTCACAAACAACCTTCGTAAAGCATATGACGTACGTATATTTGATGCTTCAAGCAAACATTCATGAATACTATTATCACTCTCTAATAACCCCCAATCCTCAGCTAATTTTTTAAATGTGAAAAAAGATGCACCATTATGTCTAAGAAGGTATTTCCAGCTTGTTGGACCTCTTAAATGAGACAACAAAACACATAAGTAAAATTTCTCACCTTCTGAAGGGGATACTGTATAGATTCGACCAATAACTTTTCGTTTTCTCTGTCTTCGCTGCCATTTTTTGACCCCTTTTAGCCAACAATAATGCTCTGGAATCTCTCTGTACAAATAATTCCTAGCATGTGGATCCATTTGGTTTAGTGCAAAGAATTCAGTGAGCATGGTTACTGCATTTTGGTTATCATTTAGCACATCTGTGATTCTTTGATGCTTATAAAACCGCACTTGATGATGATTTGGCAAGTGGATTTGTAGTCTTTCAACAGAGGGATATAACTTGTAAAGTGTGAATTTAAATATTTTCCACAATGCCTCTGGAGCACAAATCCATCTTGCATCAACATATTGTTGAATCTCATCCAAACCTATACCTCTGTGAACTTCCATTGCAACTCGATCAGGACCTTTGTAAACATATTTATACAAATATTTAATGCTTTTGATACTGCTGCAAATCTCGACATTGATGTGACAATCATACTTCAACAACAACCAAGGGTTATAAGGAACCACCCATCTATTATCAATAGACTTATTTCTATTTAGAAAAATGGAATCACTAAACCTTCTTCTGTATTCCGGGTATGAGTCATTTCCCTGACGCGTTTCTTCGCAAAAAAAATTTGGGTATCTTTTTTTACAATGACCATTCTTCATACATGGAGATTTTTGATTCAATACTCCACATGGACCATGGATCATGTGTTTTAACACCGCTTCATACAATTCTGGCTCAGACTCATGTCGTGGTATTTCTGCTTTCACCACACTATCATACTCTTCAGGTTCCCGTAACTTGTCATTAGTATCCAAGATGAGTAGCATATGCACATGTGGTAGTCCACGTTTCTGAAATTCTGTTACATACATATAACTTCTAACTCTCCCCAAGACTCCTTTATTAATGACATCATCTTTCAACTGCTTAAATTTTGATCGAAAAATTCTTGTTAGCAAATCAGGTCGATCTTGTGGAGTTTGATGGATTCCTAATTCGGAAGTTATCTCAATCCTGGAAGGATTGCATGTCATTGTAAGGAATATATCCGATTTACCATCATTAAGAACAATAGCCATACCATCTTGATATCTTTGTGTCATGTCTCGCTTACTTCCAATAAATGATGATGGTAATATTGTCCTTTGTCCAACATTATCTATAGAAATATATGAAAATTATAAATCAAATGGGAAACGACTTTGTTCATGACCTAATAGGTATTTGAATAACTATTTGAATGGCCAGTAAATATATAAGCTAATAACATAAAGTTGAAAATTATATAATTATTTTAGTTTGAATATCCCCAATTAGGTAAATTATTTAGGCTAACTTAATTATAGATTATTTATATCTATTTTTTTCAAGACCTACGTCATACATTATCTATAGAGATTTATGATGTACGTAAATATATTTATACTAATAAAGCGGACCTTCACTTCTAAATCAGTATGCTCCCTAATTTATATTTAACTATGAGCCTAATTTACTAACTCTATTATCTCTTTATCTTTAACTCGCCATTTATAATTAAGTCAAACAGAGGTAATATTTCACATTATAAATAATAGCCTCAATATATACTGATAGTGGTAAACATAAAGTGGATGTTCTTCATGTATAAATCTAACATGTTATATTAAATACCTGCGTTATTCTCCCCATCGTGCAATGCATCTTGTAACCCCTGATATACCTCAGACTGAATATTATTTTGATTTATTCGAATCCATCTCAACCTTCCTGTTTCAATCTTTACATAATTGTCGACAACATACTGTTGTAAAAGTCGACCCGATTTTAACAATACAAATTGATCATTATGTCGAATCTACATTGAAAAAAAAAATCAATCATGACCTGTTTTTTTACACTTCTAGAAGTAAATTTCTTTAAAAAAAGTTTAGCATGTACCTGAAGCACATAACTGTAGTACTCTCGGCATGTAACATTTTTTCCAACATTATTTTTTGTTTCTATGTCCCAACCGTATGTTCCGAACGGAAACAATATAGGATATTGTAAAGGATCATAGTACCCAATTATTTCTTGAACCTTTGTTAGATTTCCATCACAGCTGATGACATTTATATCTCTTTTGGTGAATAATATTATAAATATTTTTTGATGGATTATGTTAAAACATTTCTTTTGGTGAAATGCATGTTTTGCTTGTTCATACTACTATGCGTGAATATATATTGGAGTTAGGTGGGACTTCGGTCTATTTTGGTGGCCTCAAATCTATTTGGTGAGATTGTTGGTCTAGGATCATCCTATTTTGAAGCTCATGATCAGTATCATAAATGTATAGCTGCAAGTAGCATGGCCTTGAACCTTGATTCGGATGAAAACCTCCTATTTTGTGATAAATTGTGCCTTGAGCACGAAATGTGTAAATACCACGACCAGTTGTAACCAAACTTTCGTCGACGTGGACACCAAGTGAAGTAAACGATATTACATGGTTGTAACTTCTAATATGCTGTCTAAAATGCCGTCCTTCACTAGAAGTGTCTAAAAATAACTGTAACAACTCGTCAAGAGCAGGCACCTGTGTAATTGTCACCTTTCCACCCTTGCAACACATGTCTTGAGATTCTTTATGAAACAATTTTGCAGTGCACCATCTACACTCACTTGAAGTAGGCAGTAGGGATTTGATTGTCATAACAGTATTTTGAAAATTTCTAGCAATGTTATGTCTTGCTTGAAAAACATACCGTGACTCTGTGTTTTATTACATTTAAAACATCCATTAAAAAAGTATACTTATTATATACATGTTTTATAAATATTATGAATATCATAAAGTTGTAATATGTAGAATTCAACTAAAAAAAGCATGCCCTATACACTTGTTTATATTGTCAATCGCAAGTTTGATGTTGTATAATCTTTCGTGAGAATAAGCATTTCCCTTCATGATATTGTCATATATTTGTCCTAAATAAAAAAATTTCCAACTTAAAACAACAACTAAATATAAAATGTACTTTTGTGAATACCACACTCTCTTGCGATGTCAAGTAAGTTGTCTGCACCCAAAACAATGGAAATTAAGCTTAATAATAAAACTCAAATGACATATAATACGTACAAAACAGAGAAGCTAATCTTGTAAGATAATCTAAGATAGAGATTTTGAAAAATAAATAAATAAAAATCTTATACAATATTTGTAATAAGTTAAATGGTTTATATGAAAGTAACACTCTATAATAATATACGTTACTATAACATATAACAAATACCGCAATATGATTACTAATCTCATATTGTATATTACATAATATGATAATACTTATGTTATACTGACTATGTGAAATAGCATATGTATTATTAAGTAATTAATATATCTATATTATAACATTAAGTAATAGGACGCTATAATTACTTAATATAAAATTATGAAATATAACGTATTATGATTAATATAACCTTATATATAGTAACTTAACTTGATAAACATTAAGTTAAGAGCTTATGTTTAAAATCTTGCGTACATATGAAAACAAAATGTCTATTTAATCTATCTTATTATAATGATAGGACAAAATATTACTAAAAGCTCATATGTTAATATTAACATTAAAAATCTTTTTCTATTTTTGTACATAATCTATCTCAGCCATTGATATCCATTTCAGTAATTTTGGAGGATGCAAGATGCATTACATTCTGACAAAACTTAAAATAAAAGGATAATTTACAATAACTTTTTGACCATAAAAAGGATCTGCCTCAAGTAAAATAATGAGTAATAATCATGTGTATTTGTTCCCTCTAAAAACACCAAATCCCTAAAACCAATATCCCACAACAGACAATAAGAGATTTTCATTATTACTCTACCTATGTTTGACAATTACTTAGAATTTTTCATTATACAAAAGGAACACATTTTTTATAGACAAATGATACCTACAACAGATATGTCATGAGGTTTCACGATGAGCCATTAAGGAAATGTGTCAATGCTTTGTCTGTATTATTGTCATGCATAACTAAGGCCTCCGCAACGCTGCTTGATGAAAATTTGGTTAGCAACCGTGGAGAGAATATTGTGGAGGAAATAAAAGCATGATTATGATTATGAACATTGACACGCCTGCCGTCATCAAAATAGCAAATAAAAAAAATCCTCAATCGACGAACTCTGCAACACCAAAATAACAATTAAAAAAACAAAACATTTTCAAGTTCGTATCGCCGTAATTAAAAGAGTATCACCATCGAAACTTGTTTCGCATTGAGGCTGCCGACAATATTTGAATTCCACAGCTTGAACACACAGTAACAACAACTATAAACCGCACCACATTTTTTAATGCGCACAACATTAGGTAAACATAATTGCCTCCACAACATAGAATATAAAGTTGATAAATATGTGTTCTGATATAAGGCGTTAACTCCAAAATAATAAGCAGTTAGTATATTTAAAAAGATTCTGAATGTGTATTGTTCTGATATGTGTTCTGATATGTTTATATGGTGTAAATCTAGGGAACTATTTATGAGTCTAGCACGACAGCTAGAGGTAATGATGTTCAACACACAACAATACATACTGAACGAAGAA